AGAATGTTTTATGAATGTTTGTATATAATCCTGTGTTTTCAGTATGGGGACAATGTGGCCAATTTTTCAGGTTTAATTGAAGAGCTCTGTCCATTTGTAAAGATCCTATTGACTGTTTGCTCATTGAGTGATATTATAAGCAGATCAATTTTAGAACCAGCTGCTTAATTGGTATTTCCAACATTTCAGTATAGGAATTTCCTCAATGAGAGAAAGTCATTACATCATTGCCTCATAAATATTTTTCATGATATATTTTATTTCAAGGGGATCTTTACTCATATTGAATGTCCATAAAGAGCTTACGCATTGGAATGTCTCTCTGTGCTCCTGTTCTTTGACAGTCATCTTTTAACCATAGGCCGTTATGCCTTCACCATTTCCACAAGCCCAAAGAAAACAATCTTCCTCCCAGAGAATTTGCTTTTAATGGAGTACACAATTGAGTGGGCAAACACAGAGTACTCTCTGCTTTGCCGTGGGATCAGATCCACTCCCCACTCAGTGCTTTTCCCTTCGCCAGCGACTGGGGAAGAAAAAAAGTCAATGTCCTTTATTTAATGCCTTGTATACCACAGTGGGACTGTCTGGCTCAATGTAAAAGTTAAAAGGAGATCCCCTGGCAGAAACTCAATTGAGACAGCAGTGATTGGGTCCGTAGGAAGAAGTCAGATGACGGACGCATTTAGCTGTGCGCAGCGCAGTGCTGCGGAGGGGCCTTCTCATTAAGCCCCTGCAGATGTGAAATACTAAAGTGTCTGTCAGTTAGGCCTGGCAGTAGCATGGGCTGCTTATCAAAGCAGGGGTCAGTTCAGACGATCGCATTTCCTCTGAACTGCACTCCGACTGCTCTCCACATCCTGTTAGATTAGTGTCAAACACGCTATGATGAGTTTGGCTTTGTGTCTTGTGTTTTGGTCGGGGGGTGATATCCCTGGATACCAATTACTGGCCATTACATTGTTACTGATCTCCCCTCGCCCCATCATCCTTCGTTGGATTTCAGGAAATCCTTTTGCTGTCTTAGTATGTTTTTTTTTTCCCTCCCTGAATTGAGCATGTGTTCGCTTAAAGCTTCAGACTCCTGACAGTTGTTCGAGTCAAGGATTTTGCTGTGCTTTCTCTCATCGGTTTTGTGTCAGAGCTAACATAACGTTTCTATGATAAGGAATTAATTCTGAGCTTCCATCTGACTTTGATTTCACTGGGTTGAATAATTGATTTATTTTGGACTTGAAACTATGCAGTTTCAAGTTCAGCTTTTACAGACAATACTCGCACCTCATAAATGCATGGTGCGATCGCTACAGTTGTACCTGTGGTCGAGTTAGTTAGCTTCATCTGCACTCTGAGGCCTCCTGCCTGCTAGTCTGGTTTAATTCAGTGGGCTGAGAACGAGTTGGAGAATAGCATCCTGTAAAATGAAAATTGTGTACTCCAACCATTCTGCACCCCTTGGATTGGGAAGCGTATATATCATAGTGTGCCTACGCTAAGCATGGTGCTCTAGAGTTATACCTCCACATTATACGAGCGCAGTTATTGCTGAGATAAATACAGTTCCCTTGGATGCAGTAATTCTGCAGAATGTGTGAAACGCGCGGCAGTAAAGGCGCTCTGTCCTAGACAAGCAGCCTTGCATCTTCAGAGCCTCCTCTGCTCTGCCCTGCTGCTCTTTGCATTGTTCCACGTGTGCAACCGTCTGGATGCTAATGCATTTCCATGCCAGAACCAGACAAAGAATTATTAGTATGAAAATGAGATGCATGAGAGGTAGACAACTGCGTCTCTTTTGCTGTTAGCTGCAGCCGAAACCCAAAGAGCGTTTGACAAGGAGCCAGGAATGGTGTAGCCGTCATTACGGCTGCGGAGCTCAGCACACCATTAAGAGGTGTTTGATACCAGTGAACAGTGCGAGCTGCAGGAGGCACGTGCATGCTGCCAGTGGCTTAGCCGCTTCTGCTGTAAGTTACGATGACAATTACGGTCCCTCTGCTCTACCTGCCAAGACTTATCCTCTCATTACGGCAGATTTAAGGAGTCTAAAAGGCTCTCCACATCTCAGAGGGCATTAATTCCTGTTTTGGACATAACAGAGCTACCACAGGAGCCTGGGCCATGGCTGTTTTGTAAACAACAGTGGCCAGTCTTGGAGAAAGAGACGGCAGGGAGAGGTCAGGGGCTTCTTTTCTGCTCTCGGGGGCATATGTCATTTCTTTTTTTTTCTTTTTTTTCCCCTCCCGCCGGCTCGCTTGGTGTCAGGCGTGGGAGATGGTGATTTGGGAAGCTGGGGCAGGGCTGGGCGGGGCGGCCCTGAAGAGCGGCTTCTCCTGTCCGCTCCTTGCAGGGCCGACCTCAGCCGAGCCGGCCCTTATGCGGCTTGACATGGAAATTATGTTTGCATTTTCATTTTCCCCAGCACTGCTGGTGCGTCAGCAAACTCTCCCTGACAGTTCCTTACCACCAGGCAGGAGCAAGGGCCGCCCGCCCCCCTCCGCCTGCCCGGGACAGATGCTAGCCAGAACGGCCGCTTGCTCGTCCTGCACCCTTAGATCGCAGGCGACAGATGCCAGGGCCGGCGCGAGGCCCCTGCTTGAGCACTCATGTCATGGCCCCGCCCTAGGCCTGCGCCGTGACCTTTACGGCATCGTATACTACAGCTCTAATGAAAGAGCGGGTTCTGGATACTCAGAAGAGCACAGCGGAGCAGAGTAGGGCACAGTGGAGGGCACTGGAAGGTGCTGAGAACTGAATGTGTACAATACTTCCTGCCTGCATCACAGCCAGAGTCTGAAATGAACCCCTTAAAATGCAAGCTTAGTGTTTAGTTATTAATCTAAAAGCGTATTATTTAGTAACGACTAAGTTTGCACAATATATGATTGTTAATTGTAAATAATGTAACCCAAGTAAATTATTGTGTTCAAAATAATGCAAACCCATCTAACCATTGAACAGTGTATTTTATTATGTTGCAAGGTATATTACAATTGCAATATGTGCCACTGTTATCACAATACTAGTATTCTGTCCATACCATGCAGATGTATTGATTGGTATGACTCTAAAATGTTAGTTATGTGCTTACGAGAGCAAAGAACTGATGCATGCATGAAGTGTTAAGGGGTTAATGACTGCCCCCTGCCAAATGTGGGTAAATTAGGGGTTGTGGCATGTTAAATTGTCATATCACGGCCCAGTTGGTGGATAATTTTTTCATATTACATGTTAATTCACTGTGATATGGCTAAAATTTGCAAGTAAGATCTAAAATCTGTCCCACTGGCTGTAAGTGTTGTTCTGCCACTTAATCAGCAGTCCAAACGTTACTGTCTGTGGCATTGAATATGGATCATTGAATGTCATGAAGGTGTCAGGCCACTTTAACAAAACTGCCCACTCTTTACCCAATGCTAAACTAGTTTGTGTAGATAATGTGTGCATTAGGAGCTCAGCACTTTAAATGCTAGTGATCATATTGTTATTTTTGTCACTGTGGGTTATGTGGCAGTGTGTCATTGACTTTATTATTAGATAATGTACCAGAAGAGTTTTACAAAGTAGATTTTACTTTACGAACCACACATGATGAGGCCTAAGAGTCTGTCTTTTATTTATAATGTTTTCCAGATGGATTTCAGATGTGGCAGAACAAAATTTTTAATACTTGCCACAGTGGCACGTAGATAGAAAAATAATTTCAGACCCCATCACAGCACATCGACTCTTGCTGTCCGCTCCATATTGGGTGTTTCCCTGACTGGCTTGTTGTGTCATGTGGTTCACTGCATCACATGGTGATACACCTAGTGCAAGAAATTGAGGCTGACTGTATTAGATCATTCATATCCACAATCAGTTTCTCTTTGTCAAAACAAGTGTAAACATGTTGTGCAAACATGGATCATGACTTTTCAGACATATCAGACATCTTCTTTTTATTAAGCAGCTTGAGATACAGTTTTATGCAAAAGTCAGAGACCACTCTTCGTTTATTTAATTTCCAGTTGGAAAGCTATTGATTATTCATTCAATGTCAGGAAAAAAAGCAGAAAACATATATGTAACAGAAAATAGCACAGAAGCCTCAAAAACTAAACATAATATCAGGTTTTTTTAGTATTTACAGTATTTAACCTTTACCGTTATTACAGCTTTTATTATTTTTGGGAGACTTACTCTCAGTTTTTCAAGGAAATCTGCAGGGATATTTTTCCACACCTCTTAGAAGTTGGTTGCATTTTTTGCTTCTTATAATCCAAGTAACCTCAAATTCATTCAGTGATGTTGAGGTCTGGACTCTGTGAGGTCTGGACTCTGAACCCCAGCTTTAGGAAAATCTTGTTTCCCCATGATTTTTTACTTGCTTAGCATGGAGATTGTCTTATGTGTCTTATGTATCTTCTCAGAAATATTTCCTAAAAATTGAATAACTTGTACGTCATGGCTGTTTTGACTGGAATTGAAGTAAATAAAAGGTGGTCTCTGAGTGATCTGCTGTGTGGGAAGTTTCAATCAGAGCATATGGAGTTTTATGTGTGGACCGTTTTTTGCAACGTATGCAGCATAGTTTGTAAAGCTAAATACAATTCTAGTCCTTTTTACAGTCTGTAGGCTTAGTACAGTTTATAGGGTTTTTAGCAGGGTTCGGTGTAGGAGTGGATTCCCAAAAAATTGCTGCTTGCTGTTGAAACACATCGCTGGCCGATTTTCATTTTGACTCTATTCATTTTCCCTTTTTTTTCATTTTCATTTTATCATCACAAGCGTCATCATCATCAATATCAACATCTTTGTTATTGCTTATTGCTTTCAGTTCTGTTTAAATGCTGTTTCATTTAAACCTAAATCTCTCTTATTTTCATCTGATCTGTGTGTTCTTTGTCTGTGTACTGTTTCTCACCCTCATTCTCTCTCTCTCTTTTTCTTTCTCTCCTTCCCTCCTTCCCCTCCGTCCCTCCCTCCTCGTAACCTCTCATTTGTTTCTGCACTCTCCTCAGCCAAATATAAGTATAACGGATATGTCAGATCACGTAAGTCTGCTCCTCTGTTTTCCACATTCTTCCTCCTCTGCTCCACTCATCTAGCTCTCCTCATGTAACCTGTCCGCTATGCTTTTGTGGTTTATGTGATTTTGCCCCCTGAAGTATTACGCTACAAAGCTGCCATCTTTAGCTCTCTGTAGAAGGCTGGAGATTGATAGGAGGCTGTGATGACAGTTCTTCAGCGCTGGACTGTAGTCAAATGCATCAGAGTGGCTCTCTGCTGCTGTTACTTTAAAACATGTGCGGGGGAAAGGTCAGGTGCTGATGGAGGAAACCCACACGAAATCCAGATGCTGGATAAAGAGCACTCTGTCCTTGTGAGAGATGATTTAAGAGCTAGTAACGCTATGAAGTTCATAAATAGCGCATATGTTTCAGGTTGCAGCAAATAGTTTGTATTGCTCAGAGTGGGGCAGCAGATGGCGCTATAACTCCAGAGAAAACATGACGCCAGAAAGCAGCTCTGTTTACAACCAAATACATTTTAGCTAAATCTCTCACTGTCCCAAGCACATGGAGAGCCTTGCATTATAGTGTGTAGCACTATAAATGTAGTTTTATGTTGATGATAAATATTGATATATATTTTATTAAAATTATATTGTATTTGTTATTCATTGTTAAGAATATGCTTAATAAATAGTAGTTAAGTTAAATTCAGTAACACAATGTATTTTATGGATTATGTGTTTTAATACTTTGAATTAATTATTGTATTAATATTTGCATGTAAAAACAAAGCAATATTAAAAAAAAATAATAATAATAATAATAATAATAATAGTGTGAATAATTTTAAACATATACAAAATATTGCCATCAACAAAGTTTTACAATTTTGGTTGAGCCACCGTTACATATTTCACAATTTTCCACGGCCTTGATAAGAGCTTTGCAATCAGGCTTCATCACAGCATTTGCATTTCAGGAAGGGACAGTTGCCGTCTGGATTATTGTAAATCCACAGTGAAAGTGCCATGGCGCATGTTCTCCGTGTAATGCTGCATGTGTTTGACAGGGGCCAGATGAATCCAGGAGTTATCTGTGGCGGCCTTTAAATCTATGCGGCAGCTGACGGCAGAAATAACCGTCTATTTATTGCTCAGAGCGAGGTTTGGGGAGCAGACGAAAACTGCTTTTCCACTTACACCACATATTGGTTAACCTCTTGCCTTTCGCGTAGATGCCATTAGGTTGTAGTCTCTGGATTCTGGTGGCAGGCAGTGTGTTTGATAAGTCCCAGTGTGAACCACTTCACGTGCCCTTTGTACCCTGCTCACTCTTATAGACATGGAGTTAAAATGTTTTATCAGGTTACCGTTGTTTTAGCTTTTGCAGGTTTCAAACAGATAGAGTCGTATGCAGGCAACGCTCTCAGTCAAATGACATGTTTTGTTGAACACATTTTCTCAGATGAACATACTTAAATATGCTATTTTTCTGCAAAATTTAGTGCACTGATTCTTTTTATGTGCTGAGTTTAACATATTGGAAAAAGATAAAACATAAAATATAAAATGTGCCATAACTTTTTTAGAGGCCACATTTTATCTTTTCAGTTTGTATCCCCAGTATGCTAAATTAAGCAAGAAAGAGTAATTAAAGTGTTTTCTCTGTGGAGGATATATACTTATTTTTTACTTAGAAAATCAACACAAAACATGTCATTTGATATGTAATTTAAAGCATAGGCTGTTGTTTTAAACCAGTGCAGTGTATGTGAACTATTTTCTGCTTTTTGTGTGTAATTCAGCCGTTGAGTTCATTGAGAATGTAAAGTTAGTGCAATTATTAATTCTGCAGTAGAAATACTGTACATTCCCTACCTGCTGTCTGAGCTGATTCACTCAGACTGTTATCATGTCTAGTGTGCAGTGCTTTGTTCTGTTACGTGGACGAGTGAGAGGGAGGAAGAGTGCTTTTAATTAATTCATGCTTAGTAGCAATGGCAAAGCAAATGTCATATTGAACATTTCACTTTAAGTGCATGCCAAGTGGTTAAGTGGTATTTAATAAAACCAAGGTGTCATCGTCAATTATTTAGAAATGTGATGGCAGCCTTTATGGCGCAAAACCTCAGCTCTCCAAGCTTAAATAGTAATCAAAGGGGAAAATAAATGGTCCAGCAAAGGACAATCACATTAACTTTTATTTTCATACTTAAATATTTATTGTTCGATTCTCAAGCAGTATGGCAATTAATAATGGATAATAAAATGTTTTAATCATACAATGTATTTTGCTTTGCTCTTACAGCAACAATGGCATGAGTTTGCAGGGCTCAAAAAATATATTAAGTTAAACATTCATTCCTACATGTATATTGAATATATACTAATACAGAAAACTAATCATTTTCAAGCATTTCTTTTGTGTGTGAGCTGGAAAAAGCACCACTCCTCTCATTGTTTTTATCTTCCATTGTTTGACAGTAAAGGAGGAAGTTAAACCTACTTTTCAAAATCGCACAATTAAAGTGGCCAACAGCATGGCTGTCCCGAACGCGCTGCCCAATGCTGTGGGTAGCAGCCTGCAGCCTGTGGTGGAGCGTTCTGTGGTGGCCTCTGTGCCTCTCGTTAATAACCGTAAAGGAAGCCTCCTCCCTCCGGTCCCACCCTCGCGCCGACGCCTCAGCCTGGCTGGCCTGAACCGGGCCCGCAGCCTGCCGGGGAAATACCGCTACCACCCCAGCTCCTCCACACTGTCCTCCACGCACTCCCCCACGCCCTGTAGGTGGCCCCTTAGCAGCCTGCATCAGACCCCCAAACACCACCCTTCCACCCTGCAGGCATGGCTGCATGCATGTAACACAGTTTGCAAACTAGGGCTGTCACGATTACTCCGTTCAGCTCTGTTACTCAATGAAACAAAGCAAAAAATCGTTGATTAAAATGTAGCTTTTTTTGTGAATTGGCAGTGATTAGTTGGCAGTTTGCAGTTTGTTGATAATGTGCATTTTAGATTCTTTGACTAGTCTCTTTTGGAATGAGGACTAGAGCTTTGTGGACACATTTTAATGCAGTTTTAACAGATATTGTTTTATGTTTTTGTATAATTTTCTCTATCTTTCTCTTGTGAAGTATCTTAGAATCTGTACAAGGCTATACAGCTAAAATATTTTAGTTGTTTACTTCAGTAAACTTTTATTTTTTTGGCCTTTTTTTTAACTCTGATTACTTGAATAACTGTCAAAGTAATCGGTAGATTACTTGATTGCTAATGTTTATGTTTAGTAAAGACAGCCCTGCTTGCAACCTACTTGGCCTCGCCCTCCCAGCACTGCGTGTGTATTTGTACGTATGTGTGAGAATGCTTTGTAGCAGGAGTTGCCGGGAGTGTCCGAAGGAACAGAATACATTGGAACCTATACTGTACAGTGGACGTGGCCAGATTAAGTTCCACACAAAACGATTTCTGAAGTGTAGGCAGGACGTGGACTAAAGGAGCTGTTCCAGAGCTGCTGTGCTGCGAGTAACTCACGTATTTAAAAAGTTGCATCAGCCCATCCTGTACTGAAGCCAGTGGGGACAGGTGCCTAGCCAAATTGTCTTGACCATTGATAAGAGGAAAGAGAAGCAGCTATTGATGCCCATGGTCTGGAACAGCAGTCGCACTTTGCCGGACTGATCCCATTTTGATTGAAGTTGTAAAAGTGCCTTAATGTAATTTGGAGCAAGCAGAGACTTGCTGAAGCGGCCATGCTGCAGGTAGAGTTATTTCATTGTTAAGCCTCTTCCTGAAGGGCACTGCTGTAGCTCGTAAATCTCTGCAGCCTAATTTGGAGGTGCAAGGGCAGCAGTGTGGCCCAAGCTTAGCCTGGCCACTCACTCCTCACCCATAATAGGGAAACAAGGGGCTATGCTGTGGCCGACTTTCAGGGAGTGATATTTTGAAAGTTGATTAGTGTTTCATATTGCTCTGGCCATTGTGAAGTTGCAAATGTCAAACGATGGCATTTGGTATATACCCCGACAGAGCATTTTTAATTTGTCTTTTTTCATTAGTTCAATTAGTTGACAGAGAAATGAGAGCAGTATGTAGGCTGCTCGTGTTATGGTGGCGCTGCTTGCGGTGTTTGCATATTTTTCACTAATTCTGTTGCTGTGATTTTGAACTCTAACTGAAGTGTTTTTGCAGGTTTTTGGTTTGAATATGAGTAACATCAGTGACCTACTTTTAAATCTGCTCTCATCCTCAGATACACACTGTATACAGTTGTATGCAGAAGTTTGGGTGCAATTGGTCAAATGACAACATGAAAAGGTTTGGGAATTTTTGAGGTTTTGAAAATAACTACACATCCTCTTCAGAGAACATACATTTTTGCATTTTAATGCACTTTTTATTTGCTGAATTGAACACTTGAGGGTAAAAATAAACCAAATTGTGCAAAAGAAAAAACCAAATTGTGCAAAAGAAAAAAAAAACATTTTATGCTTTACTTTTCCAAATATGTTCACCTCAGCAAATACATAGAATTGTGCATTGCATTTGCACAGGTGCCATGTTTTTGCTGTTTTCCTGTAGAACATCTGTTAACTTGTTTACACTTAAAAATCAACAAATCATGTAATTTGGCCAGGGGTGTCCAAACCTTTGCATACAACTGTAGCGCATATCAGATACAGTTCAGTATAAAGTACTAATCAAAGGTATCAAAGTAGTTAAACACTGTAAGTATTCATAATGTATTAAATAATATTTCTGTGGTCACTGTGGAAATATTGCTAAAAGGAACTGTTATATTGATTACAGTGAGTGCTGTCTAGCTTTGTAAGTCATAGCTTTAGATGTGCTATGGAAATGCATCCTACTGCTATTTTAGCTTGTAACGTGCCTCAGGGTGTGAGAAGCCGATGTTGACCTTCAGGCATCTCCACTCTTGTGGATGGTATGATCAGTAGCAGGGGTGCTTGTGACTTTCATGAGCCCCTCAGTAATTTTCTGTTGGAGTGGTGTTTCAGCATGAGATGGGTGAGCTCAGTGGGCTAGTTGAGTGCTCATGGCATGGAAGATATGTACATAGAGCAGCCCCCACTCATCACTTCGAGCTGCAATGATGTGGATTGATTTTGCCATATAGTGATCCATTAGAAAACATGATGCAAATTACGTTTTTTTCTTTGCTTTCTTTCTTTTTTCTCCATTCTGTTATTGCTCCAACTCATGTCCTCCACGCAATGTCAAAGATGTAGAGAATTGTCTTAAAGTACTGATGCAGACTGCTATAGGTCCATACATGCATATGCACATACACCTATATATATGCACATAATCTCAAATGTACTTTTACAAATGGAGCAGAATGAAGGGCTAAATAATAATCAGGTTCAAGTCTTAATGAGTGTCCTCAGTGACTTTTCTTGCTTTTCCTGAAATGTACCTTTTGTCCCTACTAACAGTGTTCTCTTTCTATTTTTGGAGGTCTTCTCTGACTTCTTTTTGCTGTGATTGATTGAGTGTTGGCTTTTGTGTTCTTTAATATGTCATCTCCAGCACACGTTACAATCCCTGCTGTCCACAGTCTGACACTCTTTGCATGTGTTTGCAGTCGAAGATGAGCATCCATCAACGCTGTCACCCAAAAAGAAGCAGCGCAACGGAGGCATGCGAAATTCACCCAACTGCTCGCCCAAAATGATGAGGTAAGACATTGATTTCAAGACGCTCCCCTCCAGCCTTCAAAAGCAAAAGAGAGAGTGAGAGAGAGTGAGCATGGTGGAGAGACAGGAGGGATGGTGGTGGGATGGTGGGAGTAGGAGGAGTGGCGAAGGAGAGAGGGAGAGTGGGAGCGAGGGAGCGAGGGAGAGGAGAGGAGCCCTCTAAGGCTCAGGCGTTTAAGCTGTCAGCCTGTCAGTGCTTAATGATAGAGCTGAAATATTTCTGTCATGAAAGAGGCTATGAAAAGCTGTTTGAAAAATACTCTCGCTTTAAAGTCTCAGCTGTCACCCCCCCAGTCTCGTCCACATGTAGTTCTTAAACAGCGGTGGCACTAATGACAGCGCCAACCAATCAGAGACGCCCGCGTGGTTACTTAGCCTCAGGCTCTTCATCTATTGTAGGAGCCCCAGTGAGTAGTGTTTTTGGTTCTTAAGGCCATATGTGAGATGTATCATCGCAATCAAAAATGAATTCAAATATTACCTTCCTTTTATCCTGTCCGGAGGAATTATAATGCTGCTAATTGATTTTGACTGATAAAAGGGCTTGCTTTCTGCCCATGTGGCCAGGAGACAGAGACTCATGTGCAAAGGCTTTTAAAAATGCAGAGACAAGGTTGTCCATTTCAGATTAGCCAGCAAGATCGCAAAACTAAAGATTAAGGAAGACAACGCAACTCGCCGCAAAGTTACACTACCATATAATTTAGTCTGTTGATTTTTTAGGATCTCAAATATAAGTCGTAGTTATCGTTGACATATTTGTTTGTTTTTTTGTCAAGTATAGATTGGTTTAGAATACACTGGCATGTATAGAATACCATACGCCTCTACTGAACTAGTAACAAATAGTTATTGTCTACGTATTTATTTGTTTTTGTCATAAACACATTGGTTTAAAATACACTGGAATATATAGGATACCTAAGATTTTACTAAACTAGTAATAAGTAGTTATTTTTTGTATTGTCACTGTTCAAGGAAACGTATTTCCATTTTTTTCACATTTATTTCACATTTTTTTCTACTTCATTTGAACACAACACCTGCCCTTTACTGTGTGTAAAAATTTCATGATAATCAGACCAGCAGAAATTCTCCAAAATCCTTGGAATAAAATGTCTTTACATCAACTTACATTAAAGTAAAGAATGTTTTTGGCCTTTCCTGTAGTTACTATTTTGGAGATCAATATTGTATATATATATATATATATATATATATATATATATATATATATTTATTTTATTTATTTTATTTTATTTTTATTTTTTTGTCCTATACAAATTGGATTAAAATACACTGGAATAGATAGAATACTTCTTCTGATCTAAGTACTGCCTTTAGCCTTATCTAATTTCACTAATCCAGGCACCAGTGACTATTCCACATACATGCCCACCACACATGCCCGATTCCCCCTACAAATCCCCCCAAAAAGTAGCAGTTACACAGACTGTTACTTACAGTACACTGTCAGATGCACAGAGGATCTCACCCTTTAGTACGTTTTTCAAGCAAGAATGTTCAATATGCCCTTGGTTATAAAGACCAAGCTGGGGAAGAAAAAAGGAAACGAAGCACAGAAAGAAAGAGAAGGAAAACCTGGCACACTTCCAACGATGTGCCTGCTTAGAAGGATGTTTAGTTTTCAGTTCTTAACTTAAAGCGTGGAACAATTTTTCTGTGCTGAGTTGAAGGTCCCTGTTTGCAGTGTAATGTATGCATCTCCTCTTTGATCTGTGAGTGATAATAATTCTTGGGAGTTATTTACCCTGTTTTGAAATGCTTCAAAGCGGTGTCAAAGTTTTCTGTGCTTTAGGGTGCCTCTGTGTTCAGCTGGCTCTTGGGTACTGGATGACAGGTCCTCTGTTCTAGGTGTAGGCTTTTCAAGTCATAGCCCTGCAGCAAAACATCAAATTACCGAACGCAGCCTTGCGGACGTCTCCAGCCGCTGCCCACACTGTCTGTGTACCATATATACATGTATATATTAAATACTTTGGTTTCAAAAGGTGCATTTTATGCACAATGAAATGTGATTGTTTAAGGTAGCCTTAGGGATACTTTATTCTACAAGCAAGGGAAGGAAAAACAGCCTGCGTATACCATATCAAGTATGGGTTTTTACAGGCTTCTGCGCCTCCAGGCCGTCGTAAATAAATAATGATCAACAGATTGGCTGTGGGTTTTTGAAAAGCATGCCTTTGTCAGTTTGCATGATGGAGAAAATTTTCAAAGCAAGAGGCTCCTTTCATAGGGTGCTGGAGAGGGATTGGGGGAGCCAGTGACTGCCAAGTGATGGGCTAGAATAGCTAAACACTGTTTGAAAAGCAGCTAGCCCAGCTCGGAGGGCAACTTCTGCTTTGGTTAAAACTGCCTCTCTTTCGCTCTACTAAAGCACATATAGGCCACTGCTCTGGACATGCCAATTAAAAGCGTAAACTTGCTTTCATTTAGAAGCTACACAGGATTTTTATGGGGGGAATCTTCAGCTGAAGCGCTCTTGTCTTTTTTTTACAAGTGTTCAGTGGAAGCGCTGAGCCCTCAGTGGTGTCTTTGGACTCTGATGGAAGAAAAGAGACCCAGCTGAACAGGAACGGATCGAAACTTTTGCTGAAACATTTTGTTTCTTTTATGTAAATAAAGCCGTCTCTGTGTGTTTTTTTCCATTGGAAACAACACTTAGCCGATGAACGGGCGCGTCAGTGCACCTCGGCGCGTGCTTCTTGACGAAATTAACACTGTTCACACAGAGTTTATGATGGGGCACAAGACATGTCTAATTGTGGGAAGTCACAATGCATTAGCCGCGATCCCTTAGCTGCAGCAGTAATGTCATGTTGCTAGCTTGGAGTGGCGTGGAGCAGAGGATTGTGCTGGTGACTGTCAGGCTGTGCTGACAGTGGGTGAGACGTAGCTATCTTGGCAGAGGTGCGCAGCAGCAGTCAGCGCGCTGAGGAGAGATTGAAGTGACAGGGGTCCGTAGAGTGAGTGGTGAAACATGCAGCATATAATGAAATATTCAGTCAGGGTGTAAAAGCACTAAATGCTTTCACTGTTATTAGCACCTGCCCACAGCCTCATATCGTCTGCGCAAAGCCAGCATGCTAATTGACACGTTTTTGATGTGATATTTCAGCAATCAAACGCCGTCAAAATGCAGAGTGAAAGGGGGGGGCTTCAAAGAAACATCACTGAATGAACCTACTTAGGAGAGACAGACAGAGACAGATAAAGAGACAGAGAAAGAGAGAGAGAGACAGAAAGAGGTAACAATGCCTTGTTTTCAGTGTAATAACAGTTCCCATACTATATTTTGCTTTTAATTGAAACAGTACGTGCTTGGACTGCTCATACTGATGCAAATCTATCTCTCTTTATGCAAATACTGGAAGCAAAGACAAGGTCTCATCATTCATTACTGTACTAATTAATAGGGGGTGGTCCTAATGTAATTTAGAACCCTAATTTAATCCCGTGTTAGTAATGATGTGTAAAAGAGCGAGGCGTAATAGATATGCCGTTCTGTTATTTCGCGGACATGAAATAACAGAATTGAAAAAGACAAGCATTTGCCAGCATACGTACATTAGCATGAAACTCTGGAATCATATTATTACATCAAAATAGGTTTGATGCAGATACAAAATATGAAATTATTCTAAAATGGTGCAGTGCTATGTAATTCTATAGATTCCAGATCATTAAAAAAATTATAATTTTACATGTACCCAAAATTATGAATTGAGTATAAGACAGTTAAGACAGCTGTGTAGCTTAGAGAATGTTAGAATAAAATGAATATGTAATGTAACTCATATTGGCAAATCCTGATGCAGATACTTTGTTGTCCAATTCTGTTTAAATATTTGAACTGAAATCACCATAAATAAAATGGAAAATAATTATTATCAATTACAACTTGTTTTAAATAACAGTGAATAACACATTTAAAATACCTTTTGGTATATTTATACAATTAACTTCTCAATGTTATGTGAACAAAATAACAGAAACTATTAATCTGATACTGTAACAGGCAAGTAAGTGATGCTGTTAAAGTGAACTGAAATAGTTATGCTTAACCAATAGAAGAACAAATTAATTATAATTAATAATTATGTCAAGACATGAATTACAAAATAGATGCAGTATGACAGCAGAATTGTATCAGTATTGGTGGATAATTGCTTATAAATTGTTGGACAAATGTTTAGAATTAGCTGATATTTCAAACATTTTATTCATTTTACTGGATTTGTAACCGTAGACGAATAATGTTATTTTTCTATGTAATGCTAAACTAAGTAGATTTAGTCCCAATTTCCACATAAATGTTTACATAAATGTATTTACATGTACATCATCATGAACAGATGTGTACATTAAAAACATCAAATACTGGTATCGACTGACAGTTACCACATCAGTGCGCCTCTAAGTAAAACATATTTTCCTGTTCAGTTACGGCTAAAGAATAAGTATCTAGAACTAAGCTTTATCAAGCGCTGAGGCTTCTGGTTTTGGTTAAAACTCATGTATTAATGTACTGCATTTGATTAGACTTTAGCCTTTTTTGGGGTGGACCGGAGGAGGGAGTATTGCAGGAGTCCAGTCTGCTGATGTTGAACTCTCCTTGGCACTGAGTAATGTGAGTTTGAGGGAATTACTGATGAAAGCTGTATGTAAGTGTGCGCTGTGGAAGAGCTGAGAAGGAAAAGCATGTTCCCCTACAGCCATGAAGCAGAGAGGAGGCTGCACAGTCTGGCCTCAGGCTATTACCTCAAAGGTAGGCTTTCTGACCTGTTCTCTGCTCCAGTAGTGGGCTGCTCAGTGGGGTTTTGTTGACATTGTTATGGCCTCTTGACAAGTGTCCTGTGGAATTTCTCCCAAAGTGCTCTCATAAATGATAGAATCCCTAAGAAACATCTGATACGCATTATGAGACTGCACACATGAGAACTGCCATATGCTACTCCCAGAATTAGATACTGGTTTGAAACAAAAGAGGTAGAGTAATCGGGTGTGTGGTTAGGTACTTATCTTTCAGCTCTTAAAGAGTTATTAAAAACTTATTGGTAATGGTAATTGATAATTTATGCTTACAGTTGAAGTGCACCCACTAATTTATGTAACTGTCAGGATTAAAAAGTCAGTAGGATGTAATCTGATATCGGATAGTCTATAAGACAGTCAGTTAGTATATATTCTAGAGATGAGAGGGCATGGAAATTTCCTTACATTATATTAATGACAAATTTATTATTAATTTTATTGTATTACTGTAGTACAATTAAAATGTTTAAAAAGCACAGGTATTATGCTGATAAAATTTCATCGCACCCCTCATATTTGTTTAGAACATTGAAAACATCAAATATAATTTAAATAATATGAAACTACCACCAGATCTACAATTGTTTACTCTTCAGTCTATAGCTACATGCGTTGTCACAGTGTGTGCTTTGCAGGAATACTGTAGCAGTAGACTATTTATTTCCAATGTGAAAAAAAAACATTAAATGTACATGGGTGTTGGAATTACTAAAATTTGACAGTTTGATTATTGTTGAGTTTCATCCTACAGTGTATCATTAAAATGAACTGTCTTATCTCTAATTTTTACATATAATTACATATAAATGCTATTGGAATAAAAAAGCTGTGTGAGCATTTAGCAACAGTAAAGGCTATTCATATAATTTTATATAATTAAAATTACTATTTTAGAGGTTCTATGCGGTTTTGTTTTGGCAACAACAATAAATGTTTGTAGTTGTGCAGAGGATAGTCGCACAGTTGTGTTAAAGGGCCTGAATGTTCCTCATTTTATATAAAAGTGTTTGATATAGTGTGTAAACATTGACTTTTCAAAACATGCTGTTCCCCCTGCTCACATGGTTCATGTATGGAAACTAATCTGCACATAATACGTTTTGCATGTGTTGTGAGGTCACGAAAACCAGCACGTATTTATTTCTATCTATTCAGCCCACTTATTTCTATCTGTTTAGCCCCTTCCAGTCACACTGAAGTTATAAGGAGTGTTTCACCTTGGACTGCTTTTTGAAGAGGCACAATACAGGGCAGCCAATCAGTATAAAGCTAATTTACATAAATTTTAATTTTTTTTTATTTTACTACTATTACTATTTTTATATAACAAAAAACAATTTTAATGTAATAATAAGTATTTTTATTCTAAGAGCTAAAGTGAGTATGAATAATGACTTTTTGATTCATAATTACACACAAATGCTGTAAGTGAAGCTCAGGGAAAAATACAATAAAGAAGAAAGTGGGATATGGTTTATTAAAAAATATGTTCGTGTGTGTATTTGTATTTTAACATTTGTTTTTAATGCAAAAATACAAGATGAATTAAAAAAAACAACAAATCCAACCAATCAACTCAAATCGAATGTACTGTCCTCATATACATTCACAAAAGCCTATCTTCCTCTAGCACAGAGCAGCTGCTGAGCTGCTAGGAGTGCTTTTTAGGAGAGCCTGTCATCCCCTGTGCTAGATATACACCAATGCCAGTGTTAGCTTTAGTGCCAGCGGAGTAGCAGGACCTCTTTCACGGTCAGTGTTCCTCCAGATCAGCTTCAGCAACCCAGCCACGCTGATATAGATTAGCCTGTTTGGTCGTGACACTTTTCTGAAACATTAATGGCCTTCAGTTCGGGAGAGCACAATGTGATTGGGCAAATTCCTAAAATATTTAAAGTGCGGCCCTGTTAAAGCTTTTACTGTAGGGCGCAGCGCGTCAGGAGCGGTGCGGGGTAAAAGCCGGTAATTGGCGTTCCATTCTGGTGCCACTCAGTCAGTGCTCTGCTCATGCTCACTCTTTTCCACTCTGCCGCTGTCACCAGCAAAGGCACTCTGTAGGCAGCCCAGAAAGAGCAACACTCGGACGGAGTCCGCTGTACGGATCTGCCCTGACAGTGACGGACCTTGTCACCTCACTGCTGCTGCTAGGGAGCCTTTGATTAATGTCATAATTATAACATGGTACCACTTTAAAAGAAAACTGTTGGCACTGTTTACAGTAACTCTCATAAGCATGGCTTACTGTCTGTATGGTGATATTAGGTTCTCATTGATAATAGAGGCGGTCATGAGTAAAATACAGTTAGGGGCATCCAGAGTGTATACCACTGTTCACCTTCACTTTTCACAATTTTGGATTTATTTATTAACATTTTCCTCTCTTTCCTCTTTCTTATGCAATCAGATTATCTATATCTAATCTCCTGAGAAATTATATAATAACTTGTACTTGGTGTTTTGACTGTAAATTAAATAAATGAGGGGTGGTCTCTGACTTTTACACAGTACTGTGGGTGGCACGCAAAGCTCTCTCAGTATATACAGATACTAATCCTACAGTTGGTCAGCATTAATCGCTAAATTAATCAAGAGTACTTTTATTTATTTGAAATGAATTTCTTTTTTAACCTTACTTGAGAAATTTAATCAGCAACTAAAATTAGTAATTCACTAAACTTGTTCAGTACATTAAACATTTTCTTATTTTAATATTTTTTAATGAACACTAGCATATATTTAATGTGAATATCCTACTGTATGGTCTTTATTAGTATATAAATCATGTCATGGACTTGCCTTGGAAAGGAAACTAATGGTAATAGTTGTATGATGTTGTGCTGGTGAGCTTGGTAAATTAATCTCTGAAATATAAAAATGACCAGACATGTATGTAATTATTATTTTTATTCAAATGAAATAACATTAAATCACAGTGTGCCATGAATTAACTGTGAAAAGAATTAAGATTAGGACACTTCTTATGGAATAAATAATTGTAGGTTCTTCTTTCAGCGTGTGGTGAGAGTAAAGTAGGAAAGAGATCTTCAAACTGATGGAAACATGGAAATGATTTTTGTGAACTACAGGTTTATTAATTAATGTGAGCTCTGTTCACATTACATTGCATTATCATTTTTGATGGACAGATCTGTGGTCTGATCACTGTTTTTTTCTTTCTTTTCTCCTTATCCTCCTGTTCAGACATGACCCTCTTCTTATTCCGGGAAATGAGCAGATTGAGAATATGGACGTTAATGTGAAGAGATATGACTCCACAGGAATGTTTCACTGGTGTCCACCCAAAGACATAGAGAAGGTCATTCTGGTGGGTATTGTTCTAAGAAAAGGAAAAAAAGTGCAGAAACTTTGTATGTAGAATGTAAATCAATGTAAAAGATGTTAAATAACTATATATGTAATAATTACATTTAAATAATTGCATAATGTAAATCAAATGTATAGCAAAATGACAATAATAATCATAATAGACTTCAGTAAGTTAAAGGTAGGGCCCGACCAATGTGAAAATTTTGTGACTAGTACCAATTTTAAGGGACTAAAAATTTCAATATCCTTTAATATCGTTCAATTTTATATTTATATTTCTGATTTTAGTTGAATACTCTAGTTTTAGTTAAAAGCTGTTTTACTGACTGATATGATTTTGTGTTGTGAATTAAATACAACTGTTTTTACTGATCAAGTTTTTTAAACTCAAACAAGCAGCAGAAACTCATAGCCTTAAATAATTATAAATGTTTTAGCACTTTGGGTGGGGGGTTTATGAATTAAATGTGGTTACAGAATCTGTTTACATATTTTTGTTATTTTAACCACGATGGTGTTTTGTTTCAAAGTTGCCAGTTTACCAGCCTGTATGCGCTATAGTTAAAACAGAAGTGCAAGTCCAAATACCAAGTAATGCCATTTCAGTAACCAGATTTACTTTCTTTCAGTTTAAATTTGTCCCTAACAAGATTTTCTCTCCACAGACGAGGAGTGAGGCCTCCATGACGGTTCTGAGCGGACACGTAGTGGTCTGTATATTCGGAGACGTCACGTCTGCTCTGGTTGGCCTGCGAAATTTAGTGATGCCTTTAAGAGCAAGTAACTTCCATTACCACGAGCTGAAGCACATTGTGTTTGTGGGCTCGCTGGATTATCTGAGGAGAGAGTGGGAAAGCCTTCACAACTTCCCTAAAGTCTCCATCTTACCCGTGAGTGCACTGCAGAAGCATTAGGCTAGACATTCACTTCTGACAAGCCATGAGGAGACAAAAGTATTTCAAGGACATTTCAGGAAGCAGTGAACCGGATTCAGGTGTTAATTAAGCAAGAGAACAGGAGTGGGAGTGTGTTATTGTGAATAACATCACAGCTGTGGTTTGGTTGCAGGCACGATTCAAAGACTAGTGCCGTAGATCATCACAGCTGTGGAGTTATTCATGATAGCACAACATTAGTGTGTTTCACTGCTTTTGTTCAAAGGAAAGGTAAAATAAAGAAGCACCAGTCATTGTTTTCAATATCGGTATGGAGAGGTGAAAGGTGAAAGCTAACATAATATAGTGATTGTAGATACTAGAAAAAATAGCATATAGCAAATAGCAAGACTTCAAAAAAAATGCATTATATTTTGATCAGATGTGTTTTCTGCAGAAAACAAAAATACATTTGATACTTGCCTTTAAAAATCAGCAGCCTCTCAGGAAGACTTTCTTCTGGGCAGTATGTGCCGCTGGAACGGTGGCCTCAGTAGTGAACCCTCTGTCGAAAATCTACAAATTACAGTCATATGCAAATGTTTATGCTCCCGTGGAAATTACATATATGGTTGATTTTCTAAGTGAAAATAACTACATAGTTATTATATATATATTTAAGCACAGTTACTGATTATTTGCTGAATTTAACATATAGGAAAATGTGGCCTATGCAAACGTTATGGCACATGTCATATTTTATGTGCTGTTATCATATATTGGTAGAATATTTTTCAACTGCTCAGGTTGTTTGGTGGAAACTAAGTGTTGTGTAAGCTTTAATAACATGCCGGCTTGTTTCTCTAAGCAGCGTTTGCGCAGTGTTAGTCTGTGCTGTTGCAGGCCCATGCTGCTTGTGTGAAACACTGGCCCAGCTGCCTGCTTTAGAGCTTGTTATCAGTGGCTTGACTGAATATTAAAAGTGAACCCAAAACGCTGCCGTCAGCGAAGGCTACCCTTTAGATTAGAGAACATCTCCACATCCCCCAGTGCGTAGTTAGATCAACTGAATGTCACTGCCTTTAGAAAAAAAAGAATACTTGTTAACTAATTTCCCAGAGCTCCTCCCTGGCTCAATCCTTAATTTGTTTTTCTCCATTTTTGCTTCTTCCTCCTCTCTCTCTCTCTCTTTCCCTCTCTCTCTCTTTCGGCTGAAGGGGACGCCATTAAGTCGAGCTGATTTAAGGGCTGTCAACATCAACCTCTGCGACATGTGCGTTATCCTGTCAGCCAATCAGAACAATATCGACGATGCTTCACTGCAGGACAAGGAATGCATCTTGGCATCGCTCAACATCAAATCTATGCAGTTTGATGACAGCATTGGGGTCTTGCAGGCTAATTCCCAAGGTAAAGAGTGGCCTAGGACACTTCTGCACATGGCCTGAGGCGACTGGGCTGGCAGAGGGAATATTCCTCTGCAACATCAGTCTGCTAGACTGTAAAACCTGCTGATTGCTGTGTGCTTTCAAAGACAAAAGGGTCTGCCCTGCTACTAGGATGCTTAGATAAAGAATAGAAAACAAATACAGTAAAAGAGGCAATTCCAACAAGCATAAAAGATCGAAATGAACAAAAAATTGATAACACTCTGAAAAATAAACATGCCTACAAGAGTTCATCAAGTTCATGCCATAGAAAGACTGCATTTGGAATGAACCTCAACACAAAGAAAAGGTTCTAGACTAATTAAAAGCCTTATTACTACATGCATTACATTCCAGCCGAGAACCACTTAGGAACCTTTATTTTTTAAGAGTGAAAGGGGAAAAATCAGACAGTTTTGCATAAATACTGTTACCTTCTGTAATATAGTTTATTCATCTTACTTCCTAACTTGATTGAAGTGATTAGTTCTCCTTCCATATTTTCATACATTTCATAATTTCTGCTTATGTGTGTGTGATATCATCTTCCCTCTAATCTAAGCGCTGCTAAACATCCCAAATATCACACTACAGACCGTGCATTATTTGCCTCCATTAGTGGGGCTGCGGCAGATTTGTTTGCCAACAAATTGAGTTGAACAGATTGTTTATGCATTCAGATAAACATGTAACCCTCTTGTGCCCATCAGGATTCATCATCATTAAGCAGGCAGTACAAATCAGCAGCACCACTTCTTCAGCTGCTCTTCATTACGCAAATTACACAGCCCACACAAGCTGGCCCACAACAATTAAGATTTCAACTGTTATGGAGGAGCCACTTTTGTGCAGAGAAATGTAGCTGAAGCCTTGAAATGACAGCGTTTGGGAGAGACGTGTGTGAGGCTAACTGAAATGCTCTTTATTACTCAGCACTGACAGTTCGTTTGTGAAGAATAGGTCCTCTCAGCATGGCTGATAATAGACCTTTATCATTCTGTTTGTGGGAGAGACACAGGAAGACAGTGTGTCATTACTGCTCCCCATATTAATTCATCTAAACATCTGGCACCATGAGCCACAGAGGAACATTGTAGATAATGTAGATTTATTTCATTAACAGTCTTACAAGTGAGGAGAGGTTAGCAGTTCATTAGTAAGTTGGTGCTATTGTTTCTAGTAAGAAAAACTTAATTATTTGATTATATGATTCACACTGCATGAATTGTGGTTATATTAAATAATCTGCATATTATAAAATAGCAATAATATTGCCAGGATAAGTTTAAAATACAGTATATATCTCCCAAAACCCCATCACCCTGCACCATCTTTCTACGCCACTGACAAACCTCTTAGCATCTCAGTGCAGGGTGCTGAATTTGAAGAAGAAGGTGTAAATGACTAAATCAGCAAGCCTATTGCCAGGGGAAAGGTATAGACAAGTGCAAAACGAGTAGTGCCTGGGGGCGTCTCTTTCTGCCAGGGAGTCCACATCCTGTTCCCCTACAGCCTCAGAACAAAAGAGTCAAAAGCAAAGATTCTGCATAAAACCATTTAATCACTGTGAACTCTTTTAATTACCTCAACAGTTCCTTAAAACTTAAGTATAATTATTTGATTAAGCTTAATTTAACATGATTATTTGCAGTTGACACAACTGTAGTCACAGCAAGAGTTAAACATGATTGATATCATAATCAGACTATTAAACCTTTAGAGACTTGTCAGTGTTCAATAAATAAACAAAAATAAACATTTTGTTTAGTGAGCAGCTTTTGTGCTTCCTTTCATAAACATATGTGAGGAGTGTGGAAATGTACTATGTTTAGGCATTTTGATTCATGAAAAATACAGTTGTGTGCAAAAGTTTGAACATTTTCAGTCAAATGACATGCTTTTTTGATTTTCTAAGTGAAAATAAGTTAACAGCCTCAACAGGGAACAAGGAACATCCTCTACAGGGAATGTCAGTGTGGTATTTTTCTGCTAATTTTAGTGGACAGTTTTTATTTATTTGCTGAGTTTAACATATTGGAAAAAAATAATAAAATCGCCCACAACTTTTTTTCATCAAATAAAAGGTCATTATGCATTAAAAGGTTTGTTCTCTGAAGTGGATGTGTACCTATTTTCTCTAAATCAATGAAACATCATTTTTTTATATTTACAAATGATTTTAAAGTTACACGTTTGTGTGTTTATATAAATACACACACACACACACACACACACACATTTTTAAATAACTAAGTAAAGCAGGCGGCACATTAGGCTGTGAAGGCCTGCTAGCTAGTATAGTAAACCACACAATCTTGGTATTAACCTTAATTTCATCGTTATGGAGCATTACCTATGGCTTATTGAATCTGTTCATATAATAATAGACATTACATTAAGTTGCAACTTTATATTTCATAAAGCTTTATTTATGAAAGACTTACTAATTCATCTAACTCGTCAGTGTGTGAAAACTGTGCTCTGTGTTCATTCAAGGCAAAACTGTGTGGAATGTGTGGGGAAGGAGCAGCCTGCACCAAACTTCAAAACCATTTTAGGAAAATAATAGCTGTGGGAATGAATTCCACTTAGATCATTTTGTTGCATGGCATGCATTTTTGGTTCATTAGGTCTGAGAAACTCAGTTGCCACTGGCTATGTGCTTTTTGTAAGAGAGAATGCTACTAATAATGGAGATGATAAATTAGATTAGAGCTCCACACATCAACACTGTGCACTTGTGTGGTATAGAGGTATAGAGCAGGATTTATAAAGTAGGTACAGTGTAGTTAAATAGTTTCTTTTTGCTTCATTAATGTCTACAAAAGTTGGAAGACGTACATTTCATTAGGAATAAATAGTTTAAAAATAGTTTTCCCCATTTTAAATTTTACCAGTCAGTGCATACAACTTTGAAGTTTTCTTTTAATTTGTGTGTTGTGACTGTTTTTGATATAAACAGAAGTTCACAGGTCCATAAGCTCTCCTTTTCCCTAATGGTAACCGGCACAGATATGATATAATATGATATGGCTGTGCTATGTCTACCTTTACCAGAGGTTGCACTATGCTGTACTTCTGCTTGATGTTCAAAAGTGCAAATGTTAACTGTGGTAGTACGCACCTGTCTTCACTGTGAAAAGTGAATGTCACATTTCACAGACATTACGAAAAGGATCCCCCATTTGGTATTGTTTAGATTTTCAGCGAGGAGCCTGACTCGGACTGTCACTGCTTATGTGATGTGTTAACAGAGTAAACAACAGGAGATGGAATTATTTTGTTCAGAATCTGAAATTTGGGGAAAATGTGGAAGTGTTGGTGTCTTCCTCCTGCTCTCGCGTCTCTCGGCTGAAAAGATGCTCAGCGAGCGTACAGAATTCTGCGCTCCTTTTAAAACTTTGTGACCTGAATCTATTGCCTGCATTATGTTTGCTACTGTACAAAAAAAAGAAAAAAAAGAAACTATACGCTTGCATTTTTCTCTAGTCAGCACTAAATGATGGATGTCAAAACAGGCCTGATGCATTATGCATATGGCATTACTGATTTAAGGTGTTTACTTGTCAGCTTGAGGAAATGCAAAAGTGTCAAGTCATGTGAATTCATAGTCCTGTCACCGCCGCTTGTATTTCATGGCTCAGAATCGCGTTTTCACATAAAAGGTTTTCAGGATCCACTTCACCAATTTTATGGTAACAAAATGAACAACATATAAAATTTATATCCTCCAGTTGATGGAAGGCAGCAAATGCTAAATATGTCTCGGCTGACCCTTAAAAGCTGAATATCCACACTGCAGTGTTTTAGGCTGGCGTCTCGGTCCTTTCATCCTTTCTCATCTTTGACACTGTCTGCCTCTTACAGCAGTACAAAGGCATTTGTAGCCAAGTCCACAGCACCCCCAGACACAGGGATTCATTTCTTTACCATGTGAAAAAATGTACTACTTATACTGCTAGAAGAAATTGTGAAAGTAATGTCTGGTAATCTATATGCTTAATAAAACATACAGTCTGTAAAAGCCCAGTAACCCCAGTCACAAGGATTTTTTTTCTTTCTCCTGTAAAACAATCTCGCTACTTATGCTACTTGAAAATAAAGTATTGGTTAAAATAAAACTGGAAACTCAATGTTAGGTAGGGACACCAAACAGAGATCGCTACAGTAGCTCGTTAGGTTGAACAAGATTTGGACAGTGCTCTGTTAAGTTTGTCCAGCATGGCAACAGCTGCTACTAAAGAAGGCACTGGTGGCTGGAGTGTGGATAGATCCACTGAACCTTCTGTCTATATGTCACTATTCTGAGAAGTTTGATCTGTTCCCTTTCCCCTCTTCTTCAGGTTTCACACCCCCTGGCATGGACAGGTCATCTCCAGACAACAGTCCAGTGCATGGCTTGGTTCGCCAGGCGTCCGTCACCACTGGCTCCAACATCCCAATCATTACTGAACTAGGTGAGTCATGACTACGGTTACGCTGCTACCATGTCAAAGTCAGGTGTGATTAGAATCTAAACTACTGTCCTGCAGTCTAACAGCTGTGCCTTTTTATGTCACCTTGATGTTGTGCCCAACGAGGTGTCTAGTATGTCCACGAACTGTGTGCTGGAACATTCGGCTGAATAGGTCAAAGTACACGTTCTTAACAATAGCCCCTTTAATGCACAGGGATAGGAGCTGGACCTGCAAGGAGGCAAAAAGCATGTTGTAAAATGGGTCCATTTATTAATAACAATGACGGTGGCGGTATTCCCAGAGCAGAAGGACTCATGAAAGTTTCAGATCTCAGAGGGCACTAAAGCACACGGGACTGGCCACTCTAACTCTCCACTGACCCAATTACAGTGCACTTCAGCGGAAGTGCCTGCGACGCAAGGAACATCACAGTCCTCGCACGCTCCGATTCCACGGGTCCCTCTAGACCAGAGGAATCAGATACGGCCCATGAGGGGCTTCCAGAGGCCCACATCTGAGACACTTAATCTCAGTGCTGTTAGAGTAGCCAAAATAGCGAGAAACGCAAGCTAAAACGAACATTTAGCCATTTTTAGGTGTTCTCCTAAATTCGCCTTAATCCCATCGAGTGTTTTTCCTTTCAAATACCTTGCTGCTACAGCAATGAAAGCTTAAAACCCACATGCCATGGAGGCAGGCTCTGTTTACCAGTTAGGCACAGATGTCTGGTATCTCGCTCTGTACTTCCAGATGCTGTGCCCCTCTCAAAACTGATACTGTACCTTTAGATTTCTAATCCCACTCTTGACATGATACTCTCATTTATGCTCTTCCTTTTTGTTTGCCTTTGAACTTGTTTCAATAACAATCTCCCCTCAACGCTGTTTTATCGTCATTAGCTAAGCCTGGCAAACTACTGCCTTTGGTTTCATTCAGTCAGGAAAAAAACAGTGGAACCAACATACAAATGATAACAGAACTGGGTAAGCTGTGCCTTTGTCCTCCACTACACTGATGCTCTGCCTCCTTCATCGGCTTGTCTTGATTTCTCTGGCTGCAGATGAGGCCTGCTCCCATGGCATCACTTTGAACACATTTTTATTCTTGGTTCTGGTTGAAATTGACTGTCTTGTTTTGGACTTTTTTTATGATTTTTTTTCCCCCTTCTCTCAGAGCATCGCTAGGCCTTTGATCACGCTAGTCTGTCCTTGTGGCTGTTTCCATAGCATCTCCCTGCAGTTCATTTCTGGAGCCCAGGCTCTTTTTCATCAGCAGCCTGTCTGAAAGACTGACATTTCTCTTCCACAGCTCACAGGAAGTCTGGGAAGAAATCAAATTTCAAAAAAAAAAAAACCCTCCAGATAAAACCTTCCTTTAAGCTGTTTATTTTTATTTATTTATTTTGGAGCTGGTCCTAATCTCTAAAGCATACATTCTGAAGAGGGGTGAAACAAAGATTTGTATGAAGCGATGTTCAAATAGAACTGGATTTCAGGGCATGTTCTCCAAACAATGGCTATTCTAGAAAAGACGCACCACTGTTGCAGTCAAGCTTAACGTGCAGATTTTTCAAAATTGGGCAGCTGTGCTGAGCAGCAATGCCTGTATTTTCTACCTTATACTTAGTTTTCTTCAATACTGAAGATTAACATTAATATTTCTGGAATGGCAATTATTCTCCACACATTATGCATTTCAATATTTATTCTTAGGGAATATTATTAACAGCAGATGCCGACAGTTTTAGGAATCAAATACTGTATGTTTTGGTTTTCACAACCTTTACCAAAATATTAATTATACTTTTTCAGACTGCATGATCTCCAAAGTGCATGGTTGTTTGTTTTTCTTCATTGTTTATTTTATTTGTTTATCTAACATATGAGCACAGTATTCACTACACAATTGTTTATCCATTTTTATCCAGTGTTACACCAGTTTTACAGTAGAGTAGCTGAACATGCTAAGATGAATTCCCTATTTTTCTATTTAAAATTGGAATTTTTAGCACTTTACTGAAGTTATAGTAATGGTATGTTTCTGTGCCACAGTGAATGACTCAAATGTTCAGTTCCTGGACCAAGATGATGATGATGACCCAGACACAGAGCTATATCTGACCCAGCCCTTTGCCTGTGGGACTGCCTTTGCTGTCAGTGTGTTGGACTCACTTATGAGTGCGGTGAGTTTAACACTGATCACCTGGTAGATGGTAGATACATAGCAATGAAATGAGACCTTGGACCTTGGTTTATATAACCAAATCTTTTTTTTTTTTTAACCAACTTATAATCATGTATCATGTATGTGTAACTTTAAACAATTCAATGTGCAAAATATGGTAATAATTTTTATGACTTATTTTTTATTAAAATAATTATTAAGTATAAATTATTAAGTAAGATGTTTTTAGTAATTAGTTGGATTATGCAGATAAATTTATGTTGGTCATAAAAAATAGTTGCTAATTTCTTATTCTGAGTAAACATTTTCACTTAGGAGTTGGGCGATATATTATTCTTATCATCGTGATAATATGCTGAATAATGCCATGATATGATTTTTGAGTATATCATGAGTTTTGTTAATACAGCTAAAAGACTAAACAACTGCATACATCATAATAAAGACAACTTTAGACCAAAAATACAGGCTGCAAACAACAACAACCCGTGTACAGTAACTACATAAATTGGAGAAGCACATGGCAGATTTGATGTTAACCCCTGTTTTTATCTAATATATTTTAACCTTTTGTTAGATGTTTATCTTGGTTTATCTTTAAAGTCAATCTGAATTGGAACAGAGAACACATTCTTCTTTCACAACATATTCACGAGTGAAACACAGTATTAGGGAACATTTCTGAGACAGCTGAGCATGTTGCTGAAAGGTGGGGGTGGAAGAAGGAAGTGAAAAATAATATTATTGGTTAATATTATTGTTCTCTGCCCGCTGATGCACAGTGATTTAGTTAATTAAGCAGGAATCATTACGATTTGATTAAAGATTATAGGGCTGAACAATTTGGGGAAAAATATTGTGATGTTTCAGACTAATATTGCGATTGCGTTTTAAATTCATTCGTTTTCTAGACATTAATTTCCAGCCCTATTTTTCTTGCACAAGAAGACCAGAACATCCACTTTTTCTGGCGTGAGGCTTGAATGCTGAGTGCGCCAGACTACCAGTTAGCTGTGATTGTGATGGCATATCTACAGCACATGTTGAGCATACAGCACTGCTTCTGATTGATCTGACCTATCTACAGGCAGTTCACAAGCTCAGAGCTATTAGGTTTAAAACTTGTTAAGACAACACAACATGCTAATAATATATTGTATAATAAAAACTGCGGCTCTTGCTAGCTAAAAATTGCACTCTTTCAAACTGCGATTTCGATACAAAACTATTAATCGTTCAGCCCTAACAAGAAAGCAAGAGTGTTGTCTTTGTATGATATGGATTCTGCTTAATATCTGCAGGGACATGAGCTAAAAAGTCTTTAGTGGTCAGTTTTAGTTTCAGGTTGACTTTAATGGTTTATTTTTGCAAATGCTGAATTAAAAAAATGCACATTTTAATCATTTTTTAAACATGGCATTTCTATTTTGCTCATGTATTTTGTCTGTTCCACATTTTTTACAAACCTCATAAAAACTAAACCTGTATAATTTGTGAAAATGTCTTAAATTATCGCAATGTTATTATTATATTTCCTACCGCCTTCCTTAAATTTGACCATTTATTCATTATTACACAGAATTAACAAGGGAAACTTTTTCTTACTGTTCAGTTTTACTAGTATTGAACAGTGTTTTTGCATTTTCAATGAGGTTTCTGTGTGTGCTCTGTTAAATAGCTTAATGATGGAGTGAACAAAGTAGCCTGTCAGAAGCTTCATCACAGCTCCATTTTACTCCCATCATGAGGTGTTATATAGAATTACATGAAGGTGTCTCATGATCTGTTGAAGCTAATCCTCTGAAATAGTGCATAGGAAAGAGGAAACCTCAGGCTGTGGTGTGCTCAGATGTAGGATTGGTGCGTTACCGGTAGGCAGAAGGTTCGTAAATGAAACGCCACATTGATCAGACACTAGTGTCAGCTGCAGTGACATCAAAAGGAAAGTTGTTGCCAAGACTCCTCATATAATGTGTCATGAAATGAACTTTCAAGAGGCTTATTAGATCTTTTAACAAGGTAAGTGCTCGAGTTCTCTTTAATGGCATGCCTTGACACACAAGGTGGGCTCCTATGAGGTCCAAAAGCTTTAATCTCCAAACAATGTCATCTTAGGTAGAGAGGGAGAGATAAGACTTTTTTCTTTCTTTCTCTTCCTCTCTTTTTCTCCCCTTTTTTGTCTTACTTACGACCATTGCTGCCTCCCCCCCAACCTTATCCGCATGATGGCTTAATTCCAGTACCTTTCACTTTAAGTGAAGTTAGAACAAAGCAGCCTTCAAGTGCGTTCCACTCTGGACAAAGGTGAAGCTGGCTAATAGACAGCTCTCATCCATCATTCAGCTGAATGGTGCTGTCAGGGGCCTAGAGAGGTGTCACTCCAGCACACAGTCCGAGTCCCACCTCCGTCTGCCACTCACGCCAGCACCTGACACACTGAAGCACCCATGCACACACATACACACACACACACACGCACACACATACACATGCACACAGTCACAGACTTATATACACATGCTAAAGGAACCTGGCCCTAGCAGCAATACAGAATCAGCACCATACAATAACGGATCGCAGATAGACGTGTCAGAACTGCATTGTGGAAAGCAGAAATATGCTAAAATGACAAGGTGACAAAGCAGAGACTGACTTTTCTCCTGATTTAATTTTAAATTTACATTTATTCATTTAAATTGGTATCTATCAAAATGTGCAAACAGTGGAAGCCAATCCAAAGCAAAGTAGCAAGAGAAACTGCAAAGATTTCTAAGCTAAATGACAAGAGCTCCATAATAAATTAATCTAGTTAACTAAGACTAGATCCGTAAGTGTAGACCATTCTTAACCCATCCATGTGCAACAACTAAATTTAGCATGAAAAAAAAGCCACAGAACTTGTTCTGATATGTCTAAACAAAAAAAGTTACACCTCTAACAGCACCTGTTTCAGATTACATGTAATTTTCGTGCCTTTATTCACAATCATATCTGGATTTTATATTACTTTGTTGATGTAGTCCCATGTGAAAAGAAGACTGGGTTTGACAAGTGCAGAGGACAAAACAATAAAAAGGAAATTCTTATCTAAACTTAAAATATAAAGTATTATTAAGGTTTTAATTTGACACATATTGATCACAAGGTAACGTACATTTTGATTGCAAAAATAGAACTACAGTACTATGCAAAAGGCATAGACCACCCTCATTTATTTAATTTTAAGTCAACATGGCCATTAATTACAAGGTGTTCAATTTTCTTCATCAGGAAAAAAACATTTTTATCAGACAATTACACAAAACCCTCAACAACTAAATATAATGTCAATTCCTGGGATTTAATATTTATTTAGTAAAGAAATCTGCAGGGCGATTTTTCCACACCCCCAAAGTTCAATCTTAGTAGTTGGTTTATTTTCTGTATCTCTTAATTCAGATAATCCAAACACATTCAGCGATGTTAAGGTCTGGACTCTGGGGTGGTCAATCCATTGTTCTGAGAACAGAAGCAACTTATTTGGTTTGCAAATTTTCTTCGTTTCGACTATTTCCTTTTCTCAGTAACAGCTTCTTGACAGCTACACATCCTTTCAGACTCATAGTTGTCTTCTCACTGTGGAAGGATGGACAGAAACACCTGTGGATTTTTTCAGATCTAAAGCAAGAGCAGAGCTTGATTTTCTCCTAACTATCAGAGATGAAAACCTCAAGTACTGTTTATCTGATAGTGATAGCTTTGGTGGTCTGCAAGGTCTTGCATGGTTGTTAGGTTGTCTCATTTCCTCTGTGTCTTTTAATCATTTTTAAACTCTAAATTTCCTGTTTTTCTACTTGCTTTCCTTTCACTTTCCTCTTCCTTATGCAAGTAGATTATCTTATGTCTCTGAAAAGTTTCCTGAAAAATGACTGACTTGTAATTACTGGCCATTTTGACTGGAAATTAAATAAGCGGATGGTCTCTGACTTTTGCACAGTACTCTATGCAGCCCCAAACACCATTTGCCACAAGAGCTCACCCACTGACTGCACTCTGAGCCACATAAAGCTCTAATTAGTTCTAGTAATGATAATTGATATCAGAGAGGTCTTCTGCTAATAGCACGTGTGAAGTGCTCTCCTGTTAAGCATGGCCGCGGCTATCAAATGAACGGTGAAGAGCAAGGGGGGAGGAAAGGGAAAAAAAACCAACAACAACAACAGCTGGCTTAATTGCATTCCCGTGTCTCTTCCTGTGGTGGGGAGCACGATGTGAAGAGACAGCTCGGGGTCTAGATAACAAGGCTCAGGATGGCTTGGAAAAGCCTCAGCGTCTTCCTTGCTGTTGCGGCTCTAATGGCGCTCTCGTCCGTATCCCCCACCTTATCTCCTCAGACATACTTCAACGATAATATCCTCACGCTGATCCGGACACTGGTCACGGGAGGCGCCACGCCGGAGCTGGAGGCGCTGCTGGCGGAGGAGAACGCGCTGCGCGGAGGCTACAGCACACCGCAGACGCTGGCTAACAGGGACAGGTGTCGGGTGGCCCAGCTGGCCCTGTACGACGGGCCCTTTGCAGACTTAGGGGTAAGTGGGATGCTTAAGAGGAGCTGACACGTTTTGTCACTTTCCCCAACAGCGTGCGGTCCCCTGTCCCACGCCTCTGCCGCCCGCTAATGCAAACTGAACATGCCGGGCACGCAGAGGAGGCCTAGAGAGAGAGAGAGAGAGCGAGAGAGAGAGGGAGAAAGTGTGTGTGTATGTGCAGGAGGCAGTTGGGTGGAAAAATAAGCCTGTCTCAAACCATTCCTTGCATTTTTCCGGCATTATCAGCTGTGTAAGACTGATCCCTATTTTTTAGTCCATGTCACAATAGTGTTCGTGCTACGCAGAGATGATACAAATTCAGAGGATATTTCTCTGGCTTGCAAACGCTTACTGTAAAGCCTTGTGTAGCAAGTGACTAGCCGTGTCATCCCTGCATGTCCCTGTGCCTTTCTGAGAAAATATTCAATGGTAGAGGCACTTCCCAAACTTTCAACAGCTGCTCAAATTCTAATTCTAACTGTCGTCTCTTTCAGGATGGTGGTTGCTATGGGGACTTGTTTTGTAAAGCACTGAAAACGTACAACATGCTGTGCTTTGGGATCTATAGATTAAGAGATGCGCACCTAAGTACACCAAGCCAGTGCACGAAAAGGTGAGCTGTCTTCTCCTGACCATTTCTTTTCCAAAGTGTTTTCACTCAGAACATTTCCTTGACAGGTCTACAGTCCACAGGAAGAAACCTTCAAATCTTTCCAGTTTCTAGCCAGTCCATGCTGTCAGTGTGTAATAAATGGTACAATGGTTGTAGGTGTACAGCAGAGCACACATCTGTTGATACCTGTGATGCTTTTTAAAACAAACATTCAAGGAAAGTATAAGTTCTGTTAAGGCAATAGTTTGGCAAAAAATCTAATTTATATTTTTTTTAAAAATCAAGTCAATCAGTTTGGTGTCTGAAGTTTGCCTCTTTAGTTTTGCACTGAAGCTAGAAAGCTTATGTAGTCGATGTAATGGAAGCTAGAATTGGCAAAAGTACGGAGGCTTCTAGAAGGCTGCTGTTACAGCTTTTAGCTATATGGTGTACTTTTGTAATTTTTTTATAAGTAACTGTATATCATACCATGTCAGAAACCACATAAACAAGTCTATCTGTGGTTAATAAGCTCGTATAACTATTACTTAAGCTACATAATTAATAGACACAAATGTACAATTTTAAAATTTGTCAGTTTTCTATGCAAATGTTGCCTGGACACACCACCAATGCTTCCACATATCTCCACAGATACGTCATCACCAACCCACCCTATGAGTTTGAGTTGGTCCCCACAGACCTGATCTTCTGCCTGATGCAGTTTGACCACAATGCAGGCCAGTCCCGAGCCAGCCACTCCTCTCATTCCTCGCACTCATCCAGCAAGAAGAGCTCCTCGGTCCACTCCATTCCGGCCACCAACCGGCAGAACCGCAGCAGCAAAGCCCGTGAGGCCCGAGACAAACACAAGTAAGACTGGCAGTGTGTGCTCTGTGTGTGTGTGTGCTTGTTGACTGCTGTCTTTTGAGCAATGTCGTACAGAAAGGGTAATGTGTATGTTTTTTGTATCTAACACTTCTTGTTTTGTTTGTGAGTTTGCTCCGTGGTCATCTGCATGTGACCCTTCTGAGCCCTGCTCTGAGCCCACGTTTAGAACCACACATGCATCGCCTCATCCCAACCACACCATACATCAGGGTCACATCAGCACTGGTCCGCATATGGCTGTTCCATTATAATGATGCAGTAGAATGCCAAGGGAACTTTACAGAGTTTTGCTTCTCTAAAAATAGCCTTATGAAAGGATTACTTAAAGTGATGGTTTGGCCAAAAACTCCAATTTAAACAAGATTTCCTTCTCTTAAATGGAGCAAACATGTTAACTGTCTAAAGTTTACTTCTTTAGTTTTGTACTGGAGCTGTGAGGCTAATGTAGCTAGCAGTTGATGTGGAAGCTCATAGTCTCTGGCCATTTTATTAAGTACACCTCCTTGTGTCTACACATGATCCAGTTCGCATGTAGGTGCGCTTTGTAATTCTACAAACACAGATTGCAATGCATCTGTTGTCAATGGCCAGGACCCTCATAGGACCAGGTATTATTTGAGTGGTGGATCCTCTTCACCACTGCAGTGACACTGACCTGGTAGGTTGCACTGGTACAAGATGATGAGACACAGCAGTGCTGCTGGAGTTTCTCAACAATATGTACACTTACTGTCCACTCTATTAGACGCACCCACCCTGTTGGTCCACCTTAGAAGTTAAAAGTTAGAGATGATAGCTCATCTGTCTGTTTGTGTTTCTGGTCACAGGATGGGGTTGTCAGGATGTTCTTGGTTGGTGGACTGTTTTTAGTCCAGCAGAAACTCCATAAACACTACATTTTATACAGAAAACAGATGGACTGCAGTCTGCAATTGTAGAACAATGACGTGCGCCTATATGAAAAGCGAGCCTGAGTGTAGAGACAAGGTAGTTGCACCTAAAAAAGTGGCCAGTGAATGTATAACTAATCTATAAGTTAGATGCGCAACCTGTCTCATACTGCTTCCTAAGTATGTCACATACCTTAAAACAGTTGTAGCAGCCATCTTGAAGCCAAATTTTTGTTTGTAGAAAAATATTTAAACAAGTCTATTTGAGATTACAACTCAACATTGTATGAGACAAGTCTGAGGATTTTGGCATGTAGTTTGAACAGTGCTAACTGGCGGCTGTAAGCTTCTGTTACTAGTTAATTAGTATTGTTGCTCTAATATAAAACTAAAGAAGCAAACTTGAGGCACCAAACATTTGGCTGACTACATTTGGGGGTGTAAATTCGTTTTTGGTCAAACTTTTGCTTTAATTTAAAAAAATGGCATTATCATTTTAGTAGTGTGAGTTACTTATAAGGAATGTATCTATGCAGAAGTACATGTCTTTGTATGATTTACTGAGTATCAATGTATGACTGTTTATGCACTGATATTTGTATATAAAACATATACAAATATTTCTTATTTATTTTGTTTAACTTGTTTAAGTGCTGTAGATTTACGTGACTGTACACTTTCTGACATGGCCTAGGTCCTCTTTTCCATTTGATGCTCATTTGTAGTAGAGCAGGATTTGACCACATGAGCTCATTCATTGCCTTCCTGAGTGTTTTCATTCTCATTTGTCTCTGTGCGTGTGAGTTGCAATTGCATGTCCATGTTTTAGTCTGTGTTGCTTATTTTTAGCAATGTTTTAGTAAGTTTTGAATTTGCTAGTTGGGGTGTAGAGCTGGTAAGATTCCGAAATGCCTTGCAGATGCAGGAGACTTGGTGATGTTTTTTTTGGAAATAATGTCCAGAACAACACAATAGAAGACATGAAAAGCTAATCGAAAACTTGTTATGGAGTTGTTGTGGTTGAAAACTCTATCCCTTCCAAAAACCTGCAACTGCAAGATATTATGAAAAGTTAAATATTTTATTACTAGAACCTGAAACATATTTAAGTATCCCCATGCTGGGAGAACATAGAGAACTTTGAGTGTATAAAGAAAACAAAACTCACTTATTATGTCTTTACAGTGATTTGGTTAATTTGTAGAACTTTATTCTCATTAAGATATAGATATGTAATAGAATTATTACGTAAGCAGGGCATTAACTTAATGTTAATACAGCAAAATATATTAAATATAGAGCCTTTAAAGTTCAGTATAAATTACAGGAAGGAAGATGCAATAATAAGCGTTTATTCATGTGTATTAGAGATATAACTAAGACGTACAGTACTTGAGTTAAGTAAAAATGAAATACATTTGTAGTTAAATGAAGTTTGTAATGAGAGGGATTTATTTTTAATGTTTTATTTATCTAAAACTGTACGTTAAAATAAAAAGTCATGTCAGTAAGAGTGTTTTAGACATGTTACTTGCCTTAAGAACTGTAAAACTTACTTAGACCACTTCTTTTTCTAAAGTGCAACAAGGATGAATAGAATGGGCCAAGGTATGCAAGTTAATGATTATGCATGATATAGCACCTGTTGTGAGATATCTGAATCATAACTTTGTCCTTGTGGAGCACTGTTATGAGAGGGGATGTTGATTTTACTTTTAAAGGAAATCATGCCTACATTTCACCATTGCTTTCCAACAGAAAGCAAATGGCTGCTGCTGCTGCCTAACTCTTTGTCATGCTTAGGATCATCTGAGCATTGCATGTGGTTGATTATCATCCTCTACCTTTTTACCTCTATACCTGAGTTCATCTGACAAGTTTCTCTAGATGCCCCCCCTATTTGTTTGATTTCCTTTTCCATGTATGTATCAGTAGGTTTGGTTTCTTTGTTAAATTGAAGACAAATTGTGTGAGAGGTCTGTGTGTTTGCACATTTTTCCTATACACCAGTCTGATGATTCTTAAGCCCCCAATGCTCCATTTGGATCAGAGGAAAAAGGCTATTCATATAATCAGACATCGGCATGTAACCTGATGCCGATGCTTGAAAGACGCTACTTGCCCAGGTTGGGAAAAGAGCTGATAGAGAATTAGATACACCCAATTTATTTTTAAACAGCTTGTGAAAATTATATTAATTAATATTTTTATGGAACAAGAATGATTAAAACTATGAATTGTCTCTAATTCAACATACTTTGATTTGTGATATACTGTCTGAGGTTTGGATGAGTTGCAAAATTATAAAAATGTAATACTTCATGGTTTCCTATAGCGATCTAAAACTGAATTCCAGAGTGCCTCCACTACATTGTAAAATTATTTGGAGTTTCAACTTAAAGTAAGTTACTGCTAGCTGCTTTAACATGTTTATTGAATGAGTAATAAGTTAACAGCGCGTAAAATGACAGTTATTATTCTATTAACTTACTATTAGAAATTCTCTTAACTTAAAAATAAAATAAAAAGTAAGGCAGCCAGGTTGCTTACTTTTTTTAAGTTAAACGTGTGTGCTTACCGTGTACACTACAGTTACACTTACAGTGTACACTACTACTGTTAATTTTACAATCAGTGTTCAAAAGTTTTGAATCAGTGTTTTCAGATAAATGTATAAAATTCATTTCACAGGGTTATATAATTACAAATAATGTGTTCACGGTGATAAACAGAGCTGCAGCTGATTCTAAAATTACTGCATAAAGTTAAATTTATGCTGATGAATATCCATCATCCATAATATTTTGTATTTCAGAAGTGACAGTTGGATAACTTGACAAAAAATAGATAATGACTGTATGACTGTAACAGTAGTTTTTTATCCTTGAATAACTTGTTTACAGCAACATCTAGAAGTACTCTGTGTTGTCTAGTTTGGAATTTCTAAATATACATTATATTTTTTCCATGATATGTGTTGTTGGGAGCTGTCTTTACACATATCAGAAATATCGGTGGCATATTATGATTAACATCACCATTTTTGTTTTCCATTATACGTCACCTGTTATTCTTTTCAAAAACGGATTATATCCAAAACTTTTAAAAATGGATATACAGCATTTTGGAATGACAGTCTTCATTCTATTATTCTAGATAAAATAAAATTTAAGAAGTACATTAATATGAAATTCCAAACTTTTGAATCCCACTTTTTAATATTATATACAGTGTATAATGATTTAGTTGCTAATTCTGACTTTTTAGCAAGAAAATAATTTGATAATTACTTTTAAATATCTCCCAGCACTCCAGATTTCAGAGTGCTCTTTTCCCACTTCACGTAACAAACTGCAAGATACTCCAACTCTAAAATGTGGATTGGCTCGATCAGAACTTGCTCATCCAGACCGGGGGAAGTTGACAGCTAAACGTTCTCCTCTTGGCAGAAGTCTCATCAAAATGTAAGAAAGGAAAACATGATGAGAAGCCCGGTTCCTCTGAAATTGGTTTTCTTAACTCTTGCCATGCCAGAGGATGTCTCAGGGCAATATGAGTGCCAGAATCAGTAGTGAACTCAGGGGAATAGAGCGAGGTGGCTGACTCCTTGCACCACCGCAGGCACAACTCCACTCACATCAAACGCCTGTGCTGTGACACTCTAGCCTGCAGGCCTTCGCTGCCTGACACTCCGAGCTCCACACACACTTTCACATTGAAGTCGGAGTTAGAAATGTCAGAGTGCTAGAAAATGACACCGCCTGTGGGAAGTTGAGCAGGATGAGGACAGAAATTCACCCCACACGTTGGCTTAAAGTCTGTAATTTGGCACGTTGTGTCTCATTTCCCAGATTTTGCGCTGGTTACAGTGGGAAAGGAATGTTGAACTTCAGAGCAGACCTGACCCCACCGTGATAATGAATGCAGAAACACAGCATGATGTACCCCATTTCTATACTCTACAGTGTGTTCTTCAGTGTGTTTAGAGGCTGGAATTTTTTTTTTCTTTTACATACATACATTTTGCTGTCTCATAAAGAGAGAAAGCATTAGCATTAGTGGAACCACAACCTGTATTTTCACCCTGTGGTTGTTGAATGTGAATGTGGATAGAAAGAGGATTCTTTTTTCTGTAAGTGAAGAACTGTACACAAGCGTTCTATACTAACGTTGTCCTTTCCGTCTTCCCTTGCTCCTCTTCTGCCCGGTGATCTCCCAGAAAAGAAATGGTTTACAGATGAACCGGAAAATGCCTACCCAAGGAACATTCAAATCAAGCCGATGAGCACTCACATGGCCAATCAAGTCAATCAGTACAAATCCACTACCAGCCTGATTCCACCTATCAGAGAAGTCGAAGATGAATGCTGAATCCCTGGCCTTTGATGACGTGGAGGGAGTCGGAACATCGTGTCGTGAAAAAATTAGTGATGATGATGATGATGATGAAGATAACGAGATGGCTACAATGGTGACGATTCACTGTAACTTCCCTTGCAGCACAGCTCAAGGGACTTGTCGCGATCATGGAAACTGGAAGGGACCTCTTATGTGTATACCTTTAATGTTACTTCCATGCTTTTGGAAACATTTAATTTATAAATGTATACATAGTGATGTACATAATGACAATCAAGTAAGGATTGTACAGCCCCCTAGCACTTTTTGAAATTATGTTTAAAAAAAAAAAAAGTACTTCCTGTAATTCTTTGCAATATCTCATGTCTGTCGTGACCTGACTCTGTGCAGAAGGGTTTGTGTTATGGAGGATGAGGGTCACAGTCACTCATCTCATCCTGACATTACCCAAAGAAACTCATCTGAAGCGTCAAATAAGCCCCACACATTGAGTTACAGTACACACCCTCATCTGCTTCTTTTTGCACTAAACCTGATCAAGTTATTGCGGAATAACTTGAAAAACAAACGAAAAAAAAGTCTGGGTTGCTCACTGGGTCATGGAAAGAGTGTCTCTGTGTCTGATTCACTGCGTGGCAGGACTGTGTAGCAGGAATGGGAAATGAATGTGGCGAGTGTCAGGGTGTGCGTGGACCTCAGTCCTGCATGGAGCACGCTAGGGGCATTCATTCAACCGAGTACATGTTGCATCGCACAAACCTGGACATCTAGAGAGGGGAAAAGTGGTTTCATTTCCATCCATACACATCGTCCAGGCCATCATATATATGGGAATGTATTTGCCATAGTTCTATAATAATGCAAAAGGTTGTCCCCAACGTAGCCCTACAAAATTGGCAATACATTATGAGGATATGCACTACTTTTGTTGACGTCTTTCCATCATGCTTGACTACTCGTTTGCTGTGGTTGGAAAAAAAAAATGGTGTGATCAAAGCTCATGATGTGGTCGTTTGGATGAGGCACAAGAAACAAATGCTTTGTTTGTGCCTGCGGATCTGTTATCAATATAAAATGAATGAATTACACACTGCACTCACCTGCTGATAATCCTACTATGATTGAGCTTTCAGATCATATTTAACGTTCTCTCTCACTGGAACTGAAGCTGGCGTGAAGATAGCATCGCTTTAAGCATAGATACGCGTACGGTTTAATATGCCACATATTGCGAAAAGTGGGCATCCATGGTTCCTCCTTCTGAGTGTAGCCACTGCCTGACACATTGTTGGCACAGAGGCAGAGATGTGCTTGGATGTTCTCTGTGACCAACCGTGATGCCTTAAAAGAAACGCAAGAGATAAAGAGACAGATGCAAAAGCCAAGCTCAATCATAGTTGTCAATTATCATCAAATCTTGAAAATCCTTTGTGTTGCTTTTGGTAATAGACTGGATAGAATGAACTACACTTAACAAGACTGGAACACGCTTGTGTAGCCTTTATGTTAAGTGGGAAGTATACAAATACTAAGCAGAACTTTGGAACGTTGCTTCGGAAGTTCTGCCAGATTTATACATACTGTACGTACATACTTATTTTTTATCCATATGAGCGTAATCATTTTGTACTTATTTTTATACATATCAAAGAACTTTATTTCTAAAATTATCTTAAATGCATCTTACCAAGACTACAGTGCACACCAATTCAGTTTGTCTGTTTTTACCCTTGGGAACAGAACATATCACATTGCTTTAAAAATAAAAAAGAGAGAGAACGTAATAGATGTTATAGGAGACAACCTGAGTCAAAAAGGTACAACCTCAGCTCTCCATTCGGTTTCCTTAGAGTGTGCTTCGAAACTCAATACATGGGCTGCTTTGAAGGACCTTTGTACCTGTATCAATTAAAAATGTGTACTATGTTTCATTTTCATTGGCTGAGATTAAAATATACAACTCATGCAGCGCTTAGATGTAAACAATAGTTGAACTCGGAGTTAAAAGCGATGGTGATAAATCAGCTGAAATTGACTTAAAAGGTGCATGAGATGGCTAACTGCTAATGGTTTGCACCTACTCTTTCTTTTCTGAGGGTAGAATTGATAATGCTTTCATTGATATTGACCTAAATTAGGTCTCAGGATAAAGAGGAACATGAAGTATTTTCATGTGCATTCACTCAAAACTGTGTTTCAGAAGGCACACTGAGAAGATCTTCAGGCATCCTCAATCAGCAGAGAGCTAATAGCCATACGATTGTAGACATAAGAAGAAAAAGACGTTGCTACAATCCCATCTACTGAGGAAAAAACGCATAGTGTCAAAGTATGTTGTGTAAATTCTGCCCATTATAGGCCACGTTTTATTTTCCGAAGAAAAAGGATCTCAGCTTTAATGTTTGTCTACTGGATGTAGTATGATCCTACTGCAGCCAACTAGGCTTTGTCCTGAAGTGATTTTTTGAATTGTGAATACATTGATGTTACACTTTGTAGCAAGTAGATTTATTTAAAAAAAAAGAATTGTGAGTAAAATGTATGTAAAATTGGATTGTCAATAACATACTTGCTAGCCTGAAAAAGGAATTCTGACCTAAAATGAATCAGTATACATTGGAGTTAAAAGTCAATTTTAATTTTTTTTCTTCATAGGTGACTCGTCTATGTAAGATCCTTTTCCTGTAATGAAACTCCTGCAGTACATTACAAAGAAGAGCAGAAATACAGTGAAAGCAGGTTTCGTTTGAAGAAAGACGGACTTGGAGGCTAGCCTAAATTTCATACTGTATTTTTTTAAAACAGAATTTTATGTGAATTCTTTTACGTCAGAGTTTACATTCCATTTTGTCAGCTTTTAAGAGTTTATGTTACAGTTTATGCTACAGTCCTTGTTTGTTTGATACTGTCACAATCACTGACTTGTTTACAGATTTATCTTTTCTTTTCTTTATCAGACTTCTCAGATAGCAAGCCTGAAAATAAAACACGAAGCAGGATTATTCATTAAAAACAAGCAATCAAAACACATCTGGAATGTCGGCTTTCGGTCAGTACGTTTTGATTTCACCCCTAAAATCTGTCCCCAAAGTGATGAACAATGGTTGTCCTTCAGCTTGACTTTCTTCTCCAGTGCAAGAAAACAGCAGGTGATCTTTTTGTATCGAGCATGAGGTGAAAAGGTATCCTCAGCATATCAGACTGTTTCAAGTGCCATGACGGTGCCTCTCGAGCAGCATCATTCAGTCATGTGTTAAAAATGTGAAGATGGATTTAGAGTACAGTGGCATCTAACGCTGGCATGGGGAACATCCAAGCCATCCACGCCTCCATGCCAGTGCAGTGCCAGGCAGTGCAGTCAGACAAAGGAGGAACGATTGAAGCCCCACTAAAGCGAAAAGTGGCATCCAAGTGGCCAAGTGGCTCACATATGCATAACCCAGCTGTACAACGTATATCATGAATGGTTTTAAAGGAAATCGCCATAAATTATTAACATAGTGAGACATAACACTGACTGAAAGATGCAGGAGAGGCACCAAATGAGTTTTCAGTTATAAACACCTGTTCATTTGTTCAGGACTGTTTGTTCAAGTGCAAACTTACTAATGTTTATCATGCACCAGTCACAGTTCGCAGATTTCTGGCAATTTTACAGTACTGTGAAGATTGGGGTGTTACTAAAAATTAGGAATTGTATAGAATAAACTGCTTTGAGGGAATTAAGTCTTAACAAGCTGAAATTGCATTGGGATGTTTTTTTTTTTCATTTCAATAAACAATGTAGGACATTGACTTATATCTTTAATTACTAGCATATTCATTACAGGAAAACGGAGTTACTCATAGAAGACTTAATTGTTTGAGCTGTTTAAGCTAATGGATAACTGGAGAAATTGATGGTGCTGAGTTGATCTACCTGACTCTGTCAAATATAACCTGCTGATAAATATACTGTCTTGTACAAAAAGTTTGTACATAAATTGTACATGTTTCTTTTTGTATTTTCTCAAATTAAAATGGATGTATTTGTGTTCTAAACGCTGATTACTTGTCTGTTTTTCCACTTTGCTGCTATGTTCATGTTTGCAATGCAAACAAACAACACAAAAATAAAGCTTAAGCAGTTTTTAACATTATACAAGCTTAAAAAAATGCAGGTTTGAACCTTAAACATGCTTAAAGAAATGCAGGTTTGAATCTTAAACACGCTTAAAGAAATGCAGATTTGGATCTTAGACTTGCTTTAAGAAATGCAGGTTTGAATCTTAAACATGCTTAAAGAAATGCAGGTTTGAATCTTAAACACGCTTAAAGAAATGTAGGTTTGAATCTTAAACATGCTTAAAGAAATGTAGGTTTGAATCTTAAACACGCTTAAAGAAATGCAGGTTTGAATCTTAAACACGCTTAAAGAAATGCAGGTTTGAATCTTAAACACGCTTAAAGAAATGCAGGTTTGAATCTTAAACACGCTTAAAGAAATGCAGGTTTGAACCTAAAGCAAGCTGGCAGAAATCCATATTAAATGGCACTGATTGTCTTATGGATTATGGATAACGGATCTTTCAGGTGTAATATCCTGAAACAATGCTAATGTCTCCTGTAGGAACTAACTGGTTCTCTTGCAAGTTTAAGTTGATTCATGTGCAATAGTTTCTGAAGTATATATTTAAGGTGAGCCAGCTGCAGAACTGAAAATGACTTTATAAAATGTGCACTGCACACTATTTAGTGGAGTGCAGTACTGAGTGTAACTCTGAGGAGTGTTTCTTGTGTGATTTTGCCGTGTAACGTGGCCTTGCTGGGAGCCCTTGGCTTGCCTAAGATTGAACCGTAATATAGGTGGTCACAGTTATTGGCACCCTTGATAAAGATGAAAAGAAGTAACTGTATAAAATAAACAGCAAACGTGATGATAGTAGTTTCTATCATCAGGAGGTTAAATAGCCATACTTTAGTTCTAACACAGTTATTCTAAAATGAACAACAAAATAAACAACAAAATCAAAATGTTGAAAAACGAGTGTACAGTGCCTGGATTTGAACCTGTGATGCGACCTAAAGAATCTGTGAATCTGTGATATAAAGGAATGGTTCGATATAATTAATTATTTGAGCAAATAAAAAAAAGGTTTGTACTTTATAACCCATATATTGGATTTAGTCTGTGTGTTTAATGCAAAGTACATAAAAAACACGTGTCACACTAAGTGCATTTGAATAATAGCATTCATTTCCCATTCACATTTGAGTATTGATTTTTTGCTGTTTATTTTATGCATGTTTGTCCTTTTTTCTATGAAAGGTGACGGTAAATCTCAAGTGAGTATAAATATGACCTTTTTCTCTTTAATAACAGACAGTGAGCCTACATGCAAATAGGGTGTTGTATTGCTGGAGGCTAGGGTTTGAGCTTGACCCTCCAACAAGCTGAAATAAAGAGAGGTGGAAGTAGAACAGATGTTGGTTGCGCTGCTGATTTGTAGCCTGATAAGGGTGGCACCCAGCTGACTTAAATTGATGGCTTGTTAGTAAGGACTGGCCCCTTTGTGAGATGTTTTCAAAATGATTGATTTACGATAAAGTGGCTCCCTCTGTGTGCACGCAGGCAGAACTGATTCAGATCGATTTCGGTGAAATTGATTGATCAGCCATTTAACTTGGCAGTATGTTTACCAAAAGTAACCATGCAAGACTCAATCTCCCAGTCTCTCACAATAAAACAGCTTTAAACGGCATGTACTGTATATTAGCTGTGTACCTGAACAAAGAACGAGAAAATACTCATATAGTAAATGCTTTTATTGCATTGTAAGTGTGGCTTACTAAAATATTTTGGTTCAGGATAATATATTTTACACAGTGTGGAGCACTGATTTCTATAAGAAATTCATAAAATTAAAGGTCTCAAAAATGGTTCTTCAGAGCAATGCCAAAGAAGAACCACTTTTGGTTACCTTAAAGAACCTTTCAGTTGTTTTTAAAGACATTTATGTAAATGAAATATGTGTGTGAAGAACCTTTTTAAAGTTTAAAGAACCTATACGTAAGGTTCTAAGTATATCACATAATAAAGGTTTTATCTCTCTCCCTCTCCCTCTCTCTCTCTCTCTCTCTCTCTCCCCCTCCCTCTCTCTCTCTCTCTCTCTCTCTCTCTGTGAGTCTCTCCGTATCCCAGAGACAAAGCACTCCAGCGCTCAGCCTGCAAATCATCTCACAATGGACACTTTATCCTGTCCGCTGGATAATTGTGGATGAAAACAGCCCTCTACATTCTCACCTTGGGATGAAGTGGCCCCATAATGCTGCTTATTAACGATTTTACACAGCGAGCTGTGGCTTCAGATCTGTCAGCATGCCAATAATATTTACTGTCTGACACATGGGCTGTAGTGGGGGGGGGGTTGGCAAAAGGAGGGGGATTGCTGATTACACTGATCCAGTTGACAGCACCCTCATCCCCACCTCTTTCTGCAAATAACCTCGCAGGAATATCTCATGGAAAGGCATGCTTACGGCCATAAACCAGCCTTGGGGCTCTTGTTCTGAATTAGGGCCAAACACAAACAGCGCAAAGCGCTGTTAGTCAAATTCAAGACTGTAAATAAGCCAAGAAAGCTTTCAGTTACGCCAAGCAGGGTGATGATATCAGAGCAAAGCTGGGGGCCCCCAGTGCAGTGCTCAGGCATTTTCCTGCATGAATAGAAAAAAAAAGGATATCTGAGTGGCCATTATGGGCCATTTGGAGAATCAATAAACTCTGAAATCAAAAACAATTTTCTACATGGTTTGTCAGCAGAGCAAATGAAACTGAGAAATTTCTAATATTGACCTCTTAACGATCAATATGTGGAATTCTTGACAGGCTTTGTTATTAACATGACAACTTTCAGAAGTAATTCAAGCACCACGTCTGTGTGGAGCATACATTTGAAAGTTTAAGCACTCCACGCAGGCGATAGTCAAAACAGCACCCAAAGGAAGTGAACAGGACTGTGAAGCCCTTTGCTTGGTGTAGGACAGGCAGCACTAAGGGAAGGAGAAGCTATCACCGTGGCAACAGTGCGGACCCTTGGCCACCACGACCCCCCTTGAGTCACATTCGACATCGTCCTCAGGAGCCCTCCAGGGCCCAGCTCTGTCGTGATAATAGTTTCCATGACGATGCGGCACACTCGGTGCATCAGTGCCAGCCCAGATAAACAGTGATCCTTTACGAAAACAAGAAGGTCATTACGGCAGCTTGTCAAATCAATGCTGAAAGTGTCCCGGCTGATTAAGCCATCCCCTCTCAGCTCTGACACCGTGTCAATAGTGCCGGGCCGTCTGAGCGCGCTCAGATGATTGGAGTGAAATGCCCATCAGTCAGAGAGCTGAGCTAGACTAATGATTCCCTGTGCTGCCTATTAGAGCTACATGACAACTCAATTCTCCTCTCCACCAGAGAGAGAAAGAGGGGCGGAGAGAGAGAGAGAGAGAGAGAGAGAGAGAGAGAGAGAGAGAGAGAGTGACCTTGTTGCATCATTTGGAGCTGAATTAAATTGGCAAGAGCACTTAATCTTTACCTGAGACGATTAACAGAATTAAAGAGGAACAAAAAAAGGCACAGAGGTTTCGTTGTTTGCTTTTCTTCTGTGCCATTTGTAACTCTTTTCCCTTCCGCTCACTGTGAAAGACAAGATCTTTCATCAAAGTGAAAAAACACCTACAGCTCCAGCTCGTCTCTTCTCCTCTTCTCCCAGTAAGCCTACACAATACAACATACGCATGCCATCCTCTCATTGCCTCTCAGTGTACGATATAGCCCAGCTCTGTAGGACAGCTTGCAAAAGCCGTATCCGATTGACTTATCCGTTTTGTCAGTGGGGGCTCATCCCTCTGTGCCCTGCTGGTGACGCAGATGTTAAGCTGGAGGAGTCCACTGGTACTCAGGATAAAAAGGAAGCAAATCCCTGCTATCAGCTGGCATCACATAGCATTATGCACTCCAGCTAGGGATATGCCTAATTACTCTGTGTTAATAGACCACACTTAGCTTTTTGCTAATCTTGATTTACTTTGCATCAGACAAGGAAACTAAGCTGGACCTTGGAATGAAAACTGAATGGTCTCTTAAGGCCGGGATACACAAGGCCAATTAGGCTCTGACACGATCGGCAGTTGACTTTGAGAGCGTTCTCTTTGGTGTTTCATTTGGGAAAGGATAGCACCCAGAAGTCATTCTGTATTACTGCTCTATTTGCTGTATTCTATTTTTATTACTAGTCATCAAGCCAACTTTTCTACTTAAAGTGACCAGCATATTGGATCTGCAACCAACAAAGAAGAAGGCGAATGATGATGGCTGTGGCACTCGACCCAAAAAACTCAACTCCACAAAAACATCACAATAAGTGAAGCACTTATCAGTTTAAAGTTAAACACCTCATATCGCTCGATTGCACTTCATTGAGTCACGTCAATGAAAACTCAAAATACCAACATTTTAGCCATGAACCAGGAAGTTACAATCAAATGTCCTCTTCTGAGCAATCAATTTTGGTAATAAGTAAAAAACAAATTTCCAACCTTCTCTTCTGTTGCCTCAATAACACACAGATCCACAGTGAAAACAGCTAAAAGGCTAACAGATTCCTCCAATTACATTCAGACACTTTACATTTTGATGGTCTTTTGAAGGATTCACTGCACAAATATCAGTACAACTTACATATTTAAGAATATGTTACTTGAATGCCCATTACCCGTTTTAAATGACTTTGTTGCTAGAGCTTAGAATAAATGTCATAAAACGTGAATATAAACCAAAATGAACTTGATGGTAACATAACATGGGGAATTTCGTGGGAGTGTTATTGTTGTAATCAAATAAAAGCTGTTAGTAGAGAAGCAAAAAGGGAGGTTTCTGCATTAAATATTACGATTTTTAGGTAATTAAAATTGGTTTACAAGGGCTTTAAAGGGTAAAATCAAAAACCCATGGGAGATTAAACCAAATAATGCCACTAAAGTCACTCCAGGCTGTATCGTAGATAGAT